CCTGTCTCATAAAGACAAACAGAAAACCACAAAAAAAAAAATGTTCAAGAGGTAAGTTATTTAAAGTCAGAGAAAATGTCATGAAAAACAAATGGATAGCCATTCTTGCATTATGAGAAATAAAGGCAGAAAAAATACTTTAGGTTCTCTGAATTCAAATTTCATGTATGTTTTAATTAAATATGTGAGGCATCTTCTGACACCAAGTTTTTATGATTCTACATTTGAAAATGGTAATGCTTGCTTTTTTGTTTTCATTTATTAATTTGTTTGAGACGGATCTTGGTACATAGGCCAGGCTTGCTCCAAACGCATGAGCCCTCCTACCTCAACCTCCCAACTGCCTGGATCACAGGTGTACAACCCCCCCCAACTCAGATGAAAATGCCAGTGTGTGCATCTACCTAATTATGATGTGTAGGTTTCAAGCTACTTGCTTCAGAACGCCCTTTCCTGCCTCAGTTTCTACCACCTGTGCAATATTACAGACTGTCTGGAACATCCACTGGACTGTTTCCATCGGTCCTTGACTGGGGTTACTCCAGTGGCCACAGAATGTGCGATGACCTCGCAGCACTTTTGCATCATCTAGTGTCATTGTGCGGGAACCAGCAGTGATTATTTCACAAGGACAAAAACAAAGCTCAGAAAGGTTAGGCAGGCTTGGAAAGACACACAGTTCAGTTGAACCCCAGGACTGTTTGATTCTGTTTTTCATTAAACTGCAGCCTAGCATTGCATTAAATCCCTTCGAGGTTGGGTTCCTACCTGTCATCCTGGCCTCTCCCTTACCATACCATTAGGCACAGCCTTTATTTCTGACCTTTCTTCTCAGGGCTTTGAGTTTTTTAAAAAACATTTTATTGACTGATTTTATTTTATGTGTATGAGTGCTATGCCTGCATCATGTAAGTACAGCCATGTCCTACAATGTTCACAGAGGTCAGAACAGGGCATTAGATCCCCTGGAACTGGCATTACAGATGGTTATGAGCTGCCGTGTGGGTGCTGGGAATCGAACCTGGGGCCTCTGTAAGAGCAGCCAGTGCTCTTAACCACTGAGCCATCTCTCCAGACCTGCATTTGAGTTTTTACATGTAGAATCTTTTGTCCTTGTATTGCATTCCCTTTCATCTGTCAGCTTAAGTCCTATTCGTGTGTCAAAATTCAATTCAGAGTTTATTTCTGCTATGCAGCCTTTTTCTGAATTCCTCCATAAATTATATCAGATGGCTTCACTCAAATAGCAATTTGAATGAGCTTGTCGTGACACTGTCCTGTGACACAGACAATGACCACAAAGCTTTTGCCTTCTACTGTACGAATCAGGGATCGAAGAGTTTGATTTTTTTTTCATATTGTAAATTCAGTACTAAGCACAGAAATTTCTTGATTTTACAATATAAGAGTTTATAAAATATATTTCATCAGAGAATCAGAAAACTTATTTCTATCCTCATCAATTTTGAGAGGCACATCAGACAGACTGTCAAGGTACTTACATCCTAGGACTAAGAAGCCCATGATGAGCAGGCCAATGCCAGCAGGCCCAAAGTGAACGTTGTCTGCCGTGGTTAAGGTATTAGGTTGTCGGTCTTCATTATTCATGTCTTCTGTGTTGACATCCATTCCCCCGGTTGAAGTATTTTCTTCTGTGTTGGTACTAGTGTCACCTCCAGTGTCCTGGCTATTGGTGCTGGTGTCTGTACTAGAACTTGTACCACCACTGGTACCACCACTGGTACCACCACTGGTACCACCATCTGTATTGGTTTCTGTCACCCAGCCAGAGCCATCGAGGTCAACAATAACTGTACCAGTGCAAGTTCTCTGAAGGGAATCTAACAAAGTTCAAAGAAATAGCAGCTTATACTTCAGCAAAACAATTGCCAGATAATACAGAGCTGTTTTCTTTTCCTTTGCTGCTTGTTTCTGCCTCGACCCCCATCAGTTCTGGAACTTCCTATAGCATTCCTGTGTTACTGTCTTATGTGACTGTGTGTGTGTGTGTGTGTGAGACATGTGTGTACACAGAACACAACTTCAGCGTTGCTCTTCAAACACTGGCTTCCTGTATTTGAGAAACGGGCCCTTACTGGCCTGGGACTCGCTGAGTGGGCTAAGCTGACTGGCCAGCAAGTGACACAGGCCCCAGGTCCCACCTCCACTGAGGCTGCAAGTGCCGGCCACCATGCCTGGCTTTTTACCTGGATTCTGGACATCAAATTCAACTCCTCACACTTGCAAGACAAGTAGTCACCACCAGCCGAGCTATCTCCCTAGCCCTGTGACTCAGTTTTTAAGTCAATCAATGATTGATATTATAATTAAGCTTATTATTATTACTAGCGAAAAATGTTTACTTGGTAAGTTATATCATTACTAGTCAGATATTATGTATACTTTGAAAAATAAAGACCTACAGAAAGACACAAAACATAAACAAAGGCTAACCCATAGCAACAGTATGGAAGGCCGCCTCATTGATACTTTTATGATCACTTGTCCTGAGTGATAATGCCTAAGTTGTTGTAATCTTACATTGACAGGATCACATGGCTCATACAACTTTGAGTGTTTTATTGTAAACTGTAAGCACTGCTCCATGCTTCAACACACATGTCATTAACATAGTTTCTAATGGCTTCATACTCTTATTCAATGGACCATGGTTTTCCTACTCAGTTACCTGTTGACACTGCTTTCAATATTTATTAGTAAAGGTCTTGCTGTGTTAGCCTCTCTGTGTAATCCAGCCTTCTAGATTTAGCACTTTACTTTTCTGAAGATTACTGTAAGTAGAATTATTAGATAGAAATACAGGAACACGTCCCTGGAGTCTATTTTGGTTTGTGCTATTTCATATAGATGAGCCTTTCTCTCAATGACAGAGCCCTGGAAGCCTTCACAAAGCCACGCATTTACCTAAGATTCAATATGTACTTTCACAATGAAAGAAACTCTCTGGAGGTGTGCAACAGATAGGTTTAAGGCCAGTTATTTGACAGCAAAGCCCCTCCCCAGATAGGTTTAAGGCCAGTTATTTGACAGCAAAGCCCCTCCCCAGATAGGTTTAAGGCCAGTTATTTGACAGCAAAGCCCCTCCCCAGATAGGTTTAAGGCCAGTTATTTGACAGCAAAGCCCCTCCCCAGATAGGTTTAAGGCCAGTTATTTGACAGCAAAGCCCCTCCCCTTTCACTCGCGATGTTCATGCTGCTGTTAGGCGTTTTGTTATTTTTATCATCAGCAGTGCATGCTGCTGCTGCTCTATTTTGCAGAAGACTGAGGTATAGCCACATGAGGCGGCTTCTCTAAGCCCCCGTAGCTAGTAAGTGACGGCACAGGCCAGCCACCTAGTCTCACTTCAGAGCTCAAAGTGCTCTTAGTTCCATAGCCTTGGTGGTTGAGTCTGTAAAGCTCAACAACCTTTATTGGGAAAGGGATTTCTTTACAATAGAACAATACATTTTAAAATAGCTGAGAATATCTATGTGTGGCTTCCCCCGGAAGGAGAAGTTGATGTCTTACCGTCTATAGATAGGATGGTTCCTTCGTACCTTCTCCCAATCAGCCTGTATTGGTCCATAGTGACTCTGTTTCTTAAAGTGATTATTCCTGATCTGGAGTCAATAGCTAGCAGGTCTCCTGGATTATTCCCCATTACATATCTGGATTTAGAAGAATAATGTAGAAATTCATGCCAGCTATCTTTAAAGCAGACTTTTAAAGGTTAGTAAGTAATGCTTTCACTGTAGTGCTTCACACGTGTGTCACAGTTTTCTCTCACTGCCCTGGCCCTTGCCCTTCCCTATACTTTCAGCCTCCTGCTGGCTGGACCCCTTCCTGCCCTCAGATACTTCTTGTCCCCAGCTTTCATGTCATATGTATGCACAACCCTTTCCACCACACTTCAGATCTCTTCCTTCCTTCTCATGAACTCCTAAAAAAAAACCCCAAAACCTTTTAAATTATCAAATGCATTTCTCTAGCTTGTAGTTATAACTCCTGCTTCTCATTTTCAGTTGCTGGGAATTTATTTACAGTACAGTACCAGCTATAGCCAGCCATTTAGAGATAGATCAAAGCTTTAAGAAAAAGGAATCACAACCCTTTCCACCACACTTCAGATCTCTTCCTTCCTTCTCATGAACTCCTAAAAAAAAACCCCAAAACCTTTTAAATTATCAAATGCATTTCTCTAGCTTGTAGTTATAACTCCTGCTTCTCATTTTCAGTTGCTGGGAATTTATTTACAGTACAGTACCAGCTATAGCCAGCCATTTAGAGATAGATCAAAGCTTTAAGAAAAAAAGGAATTATTATTATTATTGTTGTTGTTGTTGTTTTAGATGGAATCTTACTATGTAGCCTAGGTTGGCCTCAAATCCAACCCTCCTGCTTCAGCCTCCTACGTGCTGGGATTACAGTGAGCAAACATTTCCAGTGTGACATCTTTCTATGTTTGGGTGGCACAGCAATGCTCTTTGCTTGTAGTGCTACCTCCGGTTAGTAGCCGCAAAAGTATCATGGAAGATCGAGACCCTGGGATTTCCAGGGCTATCCTTCATTCTAAACCATTCCTTCACCCTTCCTTCCCAAGTGATTGCTTTATCCACTATGCCTACCTTCCCTCCCTGCTTCCCCTCTTCCTCTCCAAATGCACAGTGACCTTCCAAGACGCCCTTTGACTTAAACGCTTGCCACGTTGTTGTACTCTCTCCCTATCCTAGTTCGTGTTTCCCTGCTTATTTGCATGCTCCTGGCTCACACACTGGTTTAGTAACTGTCTCAGAGTTGTGCTAAGCTTGGAAACAGAATGTTGAGAGGAGTCCAGGTAGGGCAGAGGCAGCCCTCAGTGAACCTGCGCTGTAGGTGCAGAGGAAGTGATGAGCCACAGGGCTCGGTGTGGTTAGAGTGGGCCCTAAGCTTCCACACCGAGGAGAACATGCACAAAGATCTTGAAATTGCTGTGTCACCTGCTCCTCCTGATCAGGTCGTGTGCCAATACCTGTGCTGTATATACAGAAACCTTTCACAATTATATGGGAGATTTAGACATACAGAGTTTTTAAAAAGTGACACAGCACACATGTTCCTTAATGTAAATAGTTTTTCATAACCAAGTTACTGGCCAATATTTAGTGCCAGGAAATAACCAGAATGAGGTAACTGGATCCAGTGGATTTCAGGCTGTGCAACTTTGCAATAAGAAAATCAGTCCTATAAAATCTGGGGGTGGGAGGTGGGGGTGAGAGTTAGGGAAAACGCCCGCACATGTTCACCAGCTAATTGATCAAGAAGGAAGATATATAAAAGAAAGCTCAAAACTTTACATTATTTTCACATATTACACCTTCACAGTTCTATATTGTACATTTTGCATGACTTTTTGACTTTTTATGTTTTTTCAAGTAAATAAATCACAATTGGGTATTTAGCTCCTTTAAAATTGAATGACTTCAAAAATATTAAAAGCTATTTTAATTCTGATATTGAAGACTTATTCTTTAAGATAGTAGATACTTAAGTTCAATATGTGGTGAGATGCAGTTGGAAACTTTCATCCTTACCTAACATTTGTTGCCTGTAGACCCGTGTCCAGGTCTGTAGCCACAAACTCTCCCACTTTGTAGTTTGCTCCCATGTTACTGTTGACTACATATGTCTTTGAACCTGGGCGGAACACAGAGCCTTCGATGACATTTGTCACACTTACAGTGACCGCAGTTGCTGTGAGTTTATATTGAGAAACAATTGACTGATGAAATTCAGCTTTATTTCGAACACCGATACTAAGCTGTATATTCTGCATGGCTTCATAATCCAGGGGCTAAAAATACAGGAAATAGTTTTACTCTAAGAAAACATTCCAGAAGACAGAGAAAGCCTTTGGGGAACAAAGTAATTTCTTATGATCTTGTTAAATAACTAAACATAAATGCATATGGATATCAAACTATTCTTACTGTATCTTTAGCTTAAAGTAGACACATGCAAATATAGTAAGGGCAGGTCTCGTCAGGGATTCATTGCTGTGAGCGTTGGAAAATGGACATGGACTTCAACTGTCCACTAAAGCAATTTAAAGCTCAAAAGTCAACACATGGTCAAAATTCATGTATTTTCAGTACAAAGACAATTTATATTATTTTCCATCATTTCATGTTTCTTATAAAGTGATTGTTTAACAAAACATGGGCCAAAAATATATTGGAGATCTGGTGATTTAAAAAATTATTTATTTTTATTTTATGTGTATGAGTGCTTTGTCTGCATGTATGTAAGTACACTCATGTGTGCAATGCCCAGGGAGGTCAGGAGAGGGCTTCAGTTCCACTGGAACTGGAGTTGCCAACAGTTGTTAGCCACCATGTGGGTTCTGGGAATGGGTCCTCTGTAAGAGCAGTCAGTGCTCTTAACCACTAGCCATCTCTCCAGCCCCCTAATTTTATCCTTGAACAATTTAAAAGAAATTTCACTTCTGTGTGATTTTTTGAATGTCAGCTAATATGTGTGTGTGTGTGTGTGTGTGTGTGTGTGTAATATGATAAAAGTCTTTTCTTCAATATATTCTAGAAGAAGAATTAATTTTATACTATAAAGAATCAAGTGGTAATTTTCATTATGGAAGTTGATGTCCAAATCCACAATTCACAAAATTTACAAAACATGTATACCATGTGCCACATGAATCAAATATATTTTTCTGGGTTCCTATAACAGTATTTTAGATAAAAATATCCACACACTGAGTTCTCCTATTCAGCTAAAATTTTGAATCTTCATTCTAGAGTTAGTTTTATTTGCAACTTAAAAGTAGCAATGACAACACATCTACATTTGAACCACAAACATTTTCTCTAATAATAATGAAGGATTTAATGTATAACATCATGTTTGGCAGAGTAACTGTCCCATTTTTTTTTTTTTAGTAACAGGTAAGTGGAGTAACACACACACACATACACATACACAGAGATATATTTTTGAGATAAAGTCTCACTATAGCCCCAGCTCGCCTGAACTCACCATGTAGATGAAGCTGTGTTCAACCTCACCGAGATCTGCCTGCCTGTGCCTTTTGAGTGCTGGGATTAAAGGCATGTGCCACCACACACAGCCCAAGTGGAATAATATTTCAATGTAATATAGTAATTGGGATGAAATAGATCAGGAATCAGTTTCTCCTGCAACCAATCCTAGATAGTATCCTACAGAGAATGTGAGCTGAATAGCTAAGGGGTCCTAGGTTTAAATGTCTGTGCTCTTTACTAATGATAAGAACTAGAATGGGTTTCTGCTCTGCCTGACATCCACTTCTGTGTATGTGATAGGGGTTCGGTATAGCCTAATTTGCAGGATGCTGGGATTACTGACCAGAAACATCTGGAAACTATTTTGGACAAATGGAAGCTTCTGTGGTGACTCTTCTTAATTAATAATAATTGAATTACAAGAATAGCATAGGCATATTTTAAAGCCTGTGTTAAATCTGCTTTAAAAATATTGTTAAAATATTAACCTTAATGGTGAATAATACTTTTTTGTATGAAAAATCAATCAAAATTCTTATTTTAAAATACTTTCCACTGATAGGAACTTTTGGGGAGTATTATATTGATGTGAAGAAATGTGAGTGCTTATATTCCTGCAGAGATACAAGTAGAAACATTCATATGAAAATTCTTATATCTAGTTTTAAAACAGTAATTTTAATGATTTTGTAGACTCATTTATAAAATGTTAGTGTCATTTTAACTTTAATGTCTTGAAAAGGAAAAATTAACAAAACAAAGTCCTTAGGGAAGTTATACCATACCTTAACAACCTTTAGAATTCCTACGTTAGTTCTTTCATTCATTTCTATTTCAAACCAATTTCCCTCATTTCCAGAGATAAAAAAAATGACTGCCTTCCAGTTGTCTGAGAACTCTTCATCCAAGTCAATGATTCTGATCTGCAGCAGCTCTGAGTGGAGGGCATTTTCTTCAATGCTGACTAAATACTGAAACAAGAGGCAAGCAGTGTCACAGAGTGTGGAGAGAAGACGTTGTCAGGCTGTCAATGACAATGAACAGTTAAGTATTATGCTTATAATCTCATGTTCCATTGTTCAAATCCACTTTTTCTAACACAGAAACAATGCAAAAGAGAGTATGTGTCTACAGTTGGGCTGTAGGACAGTAAACACCACAAGTATGTCTGCAAACATAATTGTACCTATAAAAATTTAAATATAGTGGATTTAAAGCCATTAACTGTAATTCCCGAGAACAAAGGCTTACAGAGGACTTCTCCATATATGGGATGTTGTCATTGACGTCCAGGATTTTGATGTTGCACTCGCACTCAGCTGACATGCCATCTGCCCCACCATCGCGGTCTGAGCCCCTCACAGCAAGAGAATACTGGCCATATTGCTAAAAAGACACAAACACATTATACACAATGGCACACATGGTGCAGACAGTCTTTGTGTTACACAAAAGTCTTTTAAAATACTGGCCCACCATTTACATAAATCTATGATAGAGGAATAGCAAACAAATAAGACTGAAAATCCTCAGATCCACACTCAATATGGAAGTTGGGGCTTGTACCCCAAGGATGCTTTCCCAGCATCATTTCAAAAAGGCAAATATTTGTGTTAAAGACTTCATTTCTTAATCACCGTGATGTGTCCAGAGGTTGGAGAGCTAAACAAAGGGTGGGACTGGCCAGAATGAGCAGGAGGAAGATATGGTTCATCAAAGATTTATGGCCTGGAAATTATATGCTATAAACAATCAGCCACTGATGTACAAGAAAAACAAAATGGTGACAAGTGGTTTGTGTTTTGGGGAGGTGGAGAGTTGTGTCAGTGGAGCTACTGATGGAGGATTTATTCTTGATTCTATGCAGTGTTGTCTACACTTTTAAAAGCTGGTAAAAGCCATGGAACCTTTCTCAGACTTGTTTGTACGCACACACTCATTCACAGCTACAGGTGTAACTTCAGGGCACTTATCATTAAAGCTATCTCGGAGATCCCAGGATGTCTTTCACGGTCCCAGAATTTCCAGTGACTGTAGAGTTCCATTATTTCTTACTCCCTTTTCTTAGAGATCGTTGTTACTAAAGCTATTTTGATATTTAAGGATTCTTGCTGGGTTGGGAAAGGAAGTTTGAGGAAAATAGAAAATGCTAACTGACCACAACTTTCTCCTAAAAGTAACCTTCAAACAAGTCCAAAAAGATTGAAATGACCTAAAAACGATTTACATTTAGATCATTGAAAACATAAAAATAGGGCTCATGAGATAGCTCAGTTGGTAAAGGTGCCTGTTACAAAGCCTGATGACTGAAGATTGATCCCCAGAACACACATGGTGGCATGAGAGAGCCAACCCTCACAAGTTGTCCTTTGACCACCGCAGGTACACCATGACATGAATGTGTCCCATCTCCCCAAACACACATGTACAAAACTAAATAAATGTAATAAGAAGTTTTAAAAAATATAAAAATAGCTGTGTATGGTGGTACATGCCTATAATCTAGCACTTGGGACAGGAAACAAGATGACCTGGAGTTTGAGGCCAGCCTGGGCTACATGAGACCTGGGTTCAAAGTAAATACACATAATTTATCCTAAATTTAGGATTAATCATTAGAGAGACTTCCATTGAAAAATAGTTAATAAGTAAAATTAAACTTAATTGAGTATCAATTAGAAAATAAAACACCCTTAACTGGGCATGGAAGCATATGCCTGTAATCCCAGCACTTGAGAGATAGAGGCAGAGTGATCAGGATTTCAAGGCCAGCTTTGGCTACATAGTGAGTTCAAGGCCAGTCTGGAGTACATGACACTCTGCCACCCCCAAAATAAAACAAGTAAATAAAGAAAATAAAACAGCTTTACTCATTTCTCTAATATGTCCCTAAAGTATGTGGCATGTAACATTCTATGCAAAGGCAATATTTCTAAAAAAGGCCTAAGGTATTTTAAAATTAAACTGTGGGATCGCATGACAGGAGAGAAAACATATAAAGCAGGTTCTTGGAGTCACAAGTTCTATTTGTAAATGGAACGACTGGCCTGGGTGCTATTAAATTCCTGTTATTCTGTTCCTGTGACTCAAGGATTTGAGTAAGTGGCTGTAAAAGAGTTGCATAGAAAGCAAAGTCTTCTCAAAGGAACTTGGGGTGTGCGAGGCCAACGAGAGATGAGGTTTTTTAGTCTATGGATGCTTTTGGAACCACTACAGTATTCACACATTGGAGCTCACCAAGAAGGGGTTTCCTCACACACTTTTTTAACGGATCTTTTTCTCCCTATCTTCTGTGATTTTTAAACGTTACTTTCACAGAATAGTTTCATTGAGGCAAATCCTATTCAAATGATTAAATGAAAGTTGTCAAAAATAAATGATCTTTCTTTTCATTTTAAAGATATTCCTCAAATTATTTTTGTGAAATGTTTGTATAATTAAAATATGAACATACTCTTTTTTTTTTCCTCTCTCAAATTACCCTTCCTTTTGGATCAGTTCCTTTGAGTAAAAATCAATCTAAAGATAAAGAATTACCTCTCTGTCTAGAAAATTATTCATTGTTCTAATTTCTCCAGTATATCGGTTGATGATGAACATTGGAGAGTCTGAAGGCTCCTGCCTTATGATCTTGAAGGCTATTTTTGAGTTCAAGTTGTTTGGCTCGTCTGCATCGGTAGCGTTGAGTCTCATCACCAGTGTATCTAGAAATCAAGGGCAGTGGGTCAGAAATGGACAAGGAACACTATCCCAGCACAGTGGTGACCTTTCCAGCAACTACGGTGCGTTTGCTCTCTTCCCTTAAACAGCATCAACACACCAACACACTAACACCTTTCACTTTTGTCTCGATAAAAAGCCCACATTTGACTAGAAGACTGGACATGACTGTTAGGAAAGAAAGGAAACACGTCATTCTAACTTTCTATTTTAAATTTTAATATAATTTCTCCTTATTGTGAAATAAAATGGTATCTTTTCCGCAGTTTAGCTATATGACCTGACTTCTAGCTGGATGGTCTTGTCCTTACTTTTCCACAGCTGTGAATGAGGATGATGATAGCACCATCTTCACTGAGTTCATGTAAAAATTAACCAGTGAACCAGAGAAAATTAGATGAAGCTCCTACCAAATAATGCACTTTTAGTGAATACTATTATCTAGCTTGGAGTTTTATAAGTGGAATTATTGTTTAGCTTAGAAATGGTTCTTGGGTAAGTGCTGTGAAACTGGGACATTGAAGGAAGTGTTTGTTTAAACACATGCATTGTCCTGTCCCGTATTTTCTTCCTTAATCTTGGTTTTGATGAAAGACCCTGGAGAACATGACAAGCTGACAGCATCCATTCATAAACTGAAGTTCTTGCCTCCCCTCTAAACTGTTTCCAAACCAGTCTTTCCACAAGCGCAGCAGGGCATCCATTCCTTCCTTTCCCCCTCTCCCCCGTCCCCCTCTAATAATGTGTTTATAGCAGTCTTCAGTGGTGTGCTAAGCAGCTAACACACATCGCCACTCAGGTGACTGTTTAACAATGAAATGTTGCCATGTACAGAAAGCCATCAGGCAGCAACTGCACTTGGAGATAGATTATCAAAGCCCTTGAGAGAAACGCTACAGCAGAATAGGGAATGGAGAGGGTTCTCTGGTGTCATGAGCTAGCACCATGTGAGATAATATGCTTCAACCACTCACAGTGGGCCACATAGGATTACTCAGTGCACTTCAAATTGGCGATTTGAGTCAAAAAAAAATAAAGATGTGGGTTCCACATCTACAATTCAAATAATAATGAAATGAAAAATTCAAAAAAATTACATTCGTAATGAATATATAATTTTTCATGCCATTATTTATTGATCTCTAAGAAATATAGGATAACATATGTTTATATGACATTTACTTTGTATTAGGTATTATTGTCCTCTAGAGATAATTAAAAATCTGTAGGAGGATCTATGCAAATGTTAGATCATTTATATCAGCATAGGAGCATCCATGAACCTTTGCGTCTGCAGAGTTTCTGAAACTAAACTCGGTAGATCTGGAGGGCTGATTGCATTCATTACAGGTTATAAAAATAAAAGGGGGTAGTGATTCCTTTGCATTTGTTTTCATGTAAAACTCTCATCTTCAGAACAATGGTATGGAACAGTTTTCTGATGATGTTTGGCCGTGGACTTCCTTCTGTCTCCACTTTGCCTGTTCCTCCCAGATTCTACTAACCACTGTTCCCCTCTTCTGCAGGAGTGACTTGGTTTCCACAAATGCTGAGAACTTGTGAATGGTGTGTTTCTGTGTCTGGTTTGTTTCATGTAAAATGATGACTTTTATGACTTTTAGGGTTACTCAAACAATTACAATGTGCAAGCTATTTCTGGTTCTTCTTTAGCAGAGCAGGGTAATAATCTATGACATATTTCAAAATAACTAGAAAAGATGAATATGACATTCCCAACAAAAATGCTTAATGATTAAAGCCTTTTAAATACTTAATGTCTTGATTTGATGATTATGCATTGCATTGAATAATTTACCCCCATAATGAGTGTGACGATCACAGGTGAGTGGGATTGCCTTTCCATACTCTCTGGCTGTGTGTTAAATCCTCTCCCTTCTGCTCTGTCACCACTGTGCAGATTCTGTTGTGATTTGTTATAAGAATCCCCAAGAAGCATGAGGCCCCTGAGCGAATTCTGATGGTTGGTTTGGAGGCACTCCTTGGATGACAGAGGAGCTACTCCCAGAGTTTTTCGGGATGCTTTTCTACAGCTTCTCTCTCATTCATGTTTACCTTGACACAGTTGAGCCTAGTTGCTGGACTGTTAACAGCGGCTTAGAAGCCAGTGTGCTCTTGTTTACCTACTAATGCGGATGACTTACTTGCATTAGAATTTTCTTCTATTTGTCCTATAAATGTAGTCATGGAAAATACAGGAGGGTTGTCATTTATATCCAAAACCCTGACTCTGAGCTCAAGGGCCCTCTCCAAATCTTGACCCTGTGCATTCAGAGCTCGGCAATAGATCTAGGACAGAAAATAAGAAGAATTATGTGGTAAGGCACATATTCATTATGTTATTACTTTCTGGAGGCATTATGCTAGGTACTGTAGGGGATTAGGAAATGACGTATTATTATTTCCCACTAAACATGGACACAAGCAATACATATACTCAGTAAAAGAAGACAGATGAGCATAAAATACCACTTAAGGAAAGGAAACCTTTTAAGTTAAAGGAAGAACACAAGTTGTATGACTTCATAGGCAAATGTATTGATTGAGATAGATCTTGAGAATTTCAACAGAGATTGGCAGGGTATTCCATGAGAAAAGAGTTATATAAAGGAAAGAAATGAAATGTTGCAAATTCCATGTTTAAGATTAAGAAAAGGAATGCTGGGCTGGAAGCTGGAGAATGTGGTCAAGGAGAATCAGGGTATCATTTTGAAGAACGTGGCATTTTTAAGCTAGGGAATGACTATGTGGCTATTTTATTATTACTACTTTAATTGTGGAGAAGTATAGTGTGTATTATTTCATATAGACAGTGTACTCTGTGCAACAATGCACTGCACCTCAAGATAGCCTGATATGGTTTCCTGCGGGTAGGCTCAGGTATCTGAACACTCGGTCCCCAGTTGGCGTTGTTTGGGGAGGTACGGTCTTGCTACAGGAAGCATGTCATTGGCTTTGAGAGTTTATAGCCTTGTTCCACTTCCTGTTCACTCTCTTTACTTCCTGTTTGCCTTTTAAGATGTGATCTTGCAGGTTTCTGCTTCTGCAGCCTGCTGTCATGCCTCCCCCACCCTTATGGACTCTCCCTCTGGAATCCTGAGCTAAAATAAACTCTTTCTTTCATAAGTTGCTCTTGGTCATAATGTTTTATTACAGCAACAGAATGGTATCCTACAACTGGTTTAGTCTGGTGAATTTGTAGGGAGATATTGTGGAGGGAAAAAAGTCAAGAATATAGATTTAGATTTGAAGACTAAGGAATTAAAGCCATCCCAAAAATACAGATGAGGACAGTAAATCAAAGAGGCAGGTACAGAAGAGTATTTGAAGGTGGTTTTTAAATATAATTTTTTTCATTGCTTGAGATTGAACCCAGGGCCCCACATGAGGTAGGAAAATGCTTGATCACCTAGCTACAACATCAGTCCTTTGATGGGGATTTAGTAGAGGATACTACAGGATGAAAGGAAGATTCTTTTTTTTAATTCATTATTATTTTTTATGTGTATGTGTGTATTGCCTGCATGTAGGTAAGTGCACCCATGTCATGCAATCCCCGTAGAGGACAGAAGAGGCTGTTGGATCCCCTGGAACTGGAGTTACAGACAGTTAGCTGCCATGTGGGTGCTGGGATTCAAACTTGGGTCTTCTGCAAGAACAGCCAGTGTTCTTAACTGCTGAGCCATCTCTCCAACCCCCAAAGGAAGATTCTTAATTTCTATATTTTTATTTTAAACATTATTAAGTGTTGATCATAATGACAGATGGAGGTGGCCAATGGCCAAGCAGAAGAGAAGTGAAGAAAAGGGTTGTTGGACTAAAGCCTTGAGAAATAAGTAATATTGGGACGGTAGTGATGTCCAGGAAAGGGTCCGGGAAAAGCAGAAAACTGACCATACATTTAGATTTGATGATGAAGACATCCAAGCTGGAAGAGAGAGCATTACTCTGTGTGTGTGTGTGTGTGTGTGTGTGTGAGAGAGAGAGAGAGAGAGAGAGAGAGAGAGAGAGAAGAGAGAGAGATGAGAGAGAGACAGAGAGAGACAGAGACAGAGAAGGTTTTGGGGGTTGTGATAAGTCTCTCCAGCCTCTTTAATGAAGCTGGTCCCTAGGTGAGCTGTCTAGAGTGAAATGAAGTTGTGTTTGAAGAGCTTTAGCTGTGTGACAATTTCTGCAAATATGGGGGGCAAGTCAGTGAAGGAGGAGTGAATATCTCAGGAGCTCAGGTGACAATATGAAATTATTAAAACAACAACAACAAAACCCCTCCAGTAGTTCAGTAGTTCCAGAGTCACTGCCTGGCAGTGGAATTAAAAGGAGCCATCTCTCAACTGAATTTTTTAATGACTGAGTAAAGGTTGGAGTCTTGTCCTTCTAGACAAAGACTCTAAGTTACCATGGAGCTGACTTAAAACTGACACTTTGACATTTTTGATAACACTTATATGAAACATTTCTTTATCAATGTCCTCTGCGTCTATTGGGATGCTTGTGAATTAAGAACCATCTCAAAATGCCAAATTTTGAGACTTGAAATACAATAAAGTACAATCTGAGATTTTTCAAAAATAAGTCACACCAGAGCACATATATCAACACGAAGTCCACTTACTATGAAGAAAGGTGTGACTTCCCGATCAACAATGGATGTTATATTGATTTCACCAGTTTTTTGATTAATAATGAAGATCCCATAGGGTGGCTGGTCAATTCCTACTCCAGAGATACGGTAAGTCACTTGCTGGTTTGCGGCACAATCAGAGTGAATCTACAGAGAGACACAGGTGAAAATATTATATAGTCCAAATAGGCTTCCTTCCACATGTGCTATCTGACAGCCATCTTCCCTGAGAACCACTGACTGTGGTGTCCCTGGTGTCATTTGGGAAACGTTGAAAACAGCGAATTGTGCTTTCAGTAGTTGTTACTCGATAAGTGCATATTTTTAATGTTAAGTGGCAATGCAATAAAATAAATTCCATTTGTGTTTCTGCTTGTATGCATTAATCTTTCCAATGAGATAAGACAATGTCTGTTTATCCAAGCACCTAAATTAAGTTTATTCCTTTAGGAACAATAGTTTTCATAACGTGAATGTTGATAGCACGGTTGTAGATCATAATTTCTCAGTGATTCATGTTTACCCAGGTTATAAAAGATGAGCTTTCCCCAGATTGCAATCCGTCCATCGTGATGTTCGTTATGCTCTGGGTCCACACTTACTTTGGCAATTGGGTTTCTCTTTGAGTTGTCTTCACCTTCCCGACAGGCTGCGGCAAACTTGATCCATTCACGTTTCTGCCTTCGGATGGAGTGCCACTTGATGGTACCATTTTTGGTGTTATAATCTCTTACCTTGAATGAGTAGGATGAAATAATAGTGTTGATTAACTATTATTTATAATTCATACTCCACTGGAGATTTTGGAGGAGATGTAATTAGAATGTCAGAAAGAGAAGATGGTTAGTGGAAAGTTAGTAATTTTGATAATCTTAATTTAAACATTGCACTAATTATATTTAGAAGAATGAGTTTTCTTTGGAATTTTTGTTGTCATTCCTAATCTGGCTCTTTCTCTCTCTCTCTATTTCACACACACACACACACACACACACAAACACATACACATATTCTTGTTTTTGTTTTGCTTATTATGGTTTTTAATATTTTATTTACTATTTTTATTTTATGAGTATGGGTGTATTGCCTGCATGTATGTAAGTGTACCCATGTGGTAGAATGCCCTTGGAGGTCAAAAGAGGGCATTGGATGCACTGGCACTGGAGTTATAGACAGTTGTTAACCACCATGTGTGATGGGAATTGAACCCAGGTCCTCTGCAAGAGCAATCAGTGCTCTTAAAGGCTGAGCCCTCTCTCCAGGCCCTATTACGGTTGTTTTTTTAAGATTGGATGTTTTTATGTAGTTCAGGCTGGCTTCTAACTGACAAACTTCCTGCCTCAGCCTTAGAAGTGCTGGGATTACTTCTATGCCTGGCTCTTTTATTTTTTAATTTGGAAAAAAGAAGATTTTCTGTGTCTTACCTGGATTCGAAATTCACTGTTAACTTCCAGTACCACCTATAGCAAAACAAAACAAAACAGAAACCCCAGGTGATCACAATGGTTAATTTTTAACTGAATGCTTTGATTTCTATATTATCTCATCATAAAAAAATCAGGTAGAGTCTTGTGAGTCATTGAACTTATTAATAATCTGCATAGTGAGTAGATTTGGTCTATGTCTAGGCTCTAGGTTCTGTTTATTTTTACCTTTCAGTTTTGATTGATCTCCTCTTCTTTACCTTTAAATTTAATTTTAATATATATATATATTTTGAGACAGGGTCACCCTTTAGTGCCTACTGGCCTGGAACTCACTATGTAGACCAGGGTGACCTTGATCTCACAGAGATCTGCTTGCCTCTACTGGGATTAAAGGGCTTTGCCACTCCTCCCAGTGGCTACTTTTGTTTTTTAACTATAGTTTCATTCTTAGCCTTTGCAGGTGCTCACAGTCATAGAGGTAGGCTAGCTGAGGGTGGGTAGAACTTGGGGGAGTGAGGGCTAGAAACTCAGGCTTTCTTAGCAAATGTGACTGAAGAATGTGGAAATGGAAAAGAATGCTCATAGCAAAGAACGGATATGTAACAATGACAATCAAAGAAGATGTCATGAAACTGAGAGGGATGGGAAGGGCGCATGGGAGGAGGCGTAGAGGGGAGAGGGAGAGGCAGATATGATGTAAATACAGTTCTTATGTACAAAATGCTTGACTGAGAAACTGAAGCCTGAATATTAACTTGTGCAAAATACGACCCAATACATTTCAGCATAAACATATGCTTTTAAAAAAATTTTATTTATTATTTTTATTTTATGTGCATGAATGTATTGACTGCATGTGTGTATGTGTGCCTGTAGAGGTCAGAAGAGGGCGTTGGATTCCCCTGGAATGGAGTTACCAACTGCTGTTAGCCACCATGTGGGTGCTGGGAATTGAACCTGGGTCTTTTGCAAGAGCAGCCAGTGCTTTTAATCACTGAGCCAACTCCAGTCCCAATTTGTGCTTGTTTTACAAGAAAATATAAAATAGCCTATTGTCTCAAATAAGTTACTAAATAAAGCATATTACAAGGAATTGACATTACATTTTTGGGAACTAAAAATTATGATTTTAATCTAATCTCACATTATCCTTATTATTAAATAATTTGTTTTGTGTGTGTCTATGGTATATGTATGTGCATATATTTGGTGCATGAGCACGTTTGTGAGAGTATGTGCCTGTGCTTGTGGACAGAGGACAGAGGAGGACATTGAGTGTCCTGTTCCACACGCCCAACCTTATTCCATTGAGATAGGGTCTCTCAGTGAGCTTGGAGCTAGGCCGGCACACGCCCCAGAGACCTGTCTTCACCCTCAAAGCACTGGGGTGACCTGCATGTATGGTCATACCCAGCTTCTTATGTGAATGCTGGGGATTTGATCTCAGGTCCTCAGGCTTGAGCAGTAAATCCCTCAGAGCCTTCCCCCTGAGCAGCAAACACTGCTGGGAGGAGCCCTCTCCAGGTTACTAATGTTTATGTGTAAACAACATTATCTGTAAACATTCTCCTGAAGCCCATCTTGACCTCAGAACTGAGAGGATCCACCACCAGTGGCTTCCTGTTGCCTGTGACATTTTAAGCACTCTTCCCTTCTCCTGCTTGTGGGTGGGACTGGCTGCAGCCTTATCTGTCTGGAAATCATTTCTTCAGAGCTCTGGAGCCTGTTTGTTCATCCCTTCTCTCTTGCGTTTCTCTTCCTGCCGTGAAGGGCCAGCGCCTGCTATTTTGGGTAACTCGCCAAATGACTAAGAACTCGTTTAGCTTTATGAAGCTAGGTCATTCATTTTCCCATGAGAGGCAACTTCGGCAGAAGACCAAGTATGTTTCGCCATAATGTCAGACTCACAACTGGAGGGGTAATTAAAAAACTGCCGAGTGCGCTTTAAAAAAATCTGGTGGGTTGATGTGAGCTTATTTTTGTTTTTAAATCAGAGTCTAGAGTAAATTCAGATACAAAGTATGGGACTTTTTACAGACAAAACAATGATATGAAAAGATTGTTGGGTAATCAGAAAACATTCTAATATTTTAAAAAATTCTCTGAGTCTTAGCTCATTTGTAAGTAGGTAGACGGACTTACACAGAATGCCTTTCCGGTCCTAATATTAAATTCCTGTGTGCCATAGGAGAATATTGAAGTATTTTGATCATGGGAAAGGTGTGCTAAAATTATGGGTTTGAAAGATTACTTGGGCAACAGTTGTTAGGAGCGATGGGAAGAGGCAGAAATTACAGGCTGAGGGCTGTTCCTTCTTAGGTGTCAATCAGGCTAGAGGTGAGGGGCGGCTGATAGAAGCAGACACAGTGGGAAGCACAGGGAGAGATCTAGGGAGAGATCTTGGACTGATGGTATCCACAGGCTAGAGAAGAGACAGTGGTGGGGGCAGAGCGACCTCAATTGCCAGCAGTCCTAAAAAGTGAGACTAGAAACAATGTGGTAGGGGAGGCCAGAGAAATGCCTGATGAAGATGCTTAACAAGCCGAGCGAAAGCCTGGATTCATAGTTTTGAGGAACATCTACTGAGGGAGGATTGCTGACATCACCGGGGAATTTGAAACTTCCAAAGAGGAGGATACAACAAAGAAACAGCCTGTAACTGGGGTGACGGCCAGGGGAACTCCTGTGTTTGTATAAATGGAAACAAGTGGAAAGGG